GCTAGCGCAGATAGCCCTCGTGTAGCTTTGCGCGAAATTCCAAAAAAACAAACAAACAATAACTCACAGTCTGTACTACTAGCACGAGTTAAGTTGCTGTTTAACTATGAACTCGTGTTAATTTTTATATAGGAAATATGTATCTGTTTAAAAGTGTTTTCTAGTATTTAATTTACATTTCTAAATATATCAAAACTGATAGTTATAAACCATAAATTATAAAAACCTGGTTGGAAAAGTAACATTTGGAATTCTATATTCACGTTAGGCCTAATTATATTGATACAAATCATACCATACTTCAGATATTTTTTCTACATTCCTTTTCATTAATCCATCATGGACTTCAAATTAGACGCTTGTGCAAATAAATTTGCAATCTGTTATGATTTTTATCACTTATATTAAGCCTTTTGGTTTCATTCTTTTGCAAGCTTTTGGTATTTAAAACCGTAATATAAGGATGATGTTTATAAATTCAGTATATATCTCTCACAATCAGAGGCACCTTGGTGGCAGGAATAAGACGTAAAAAATCCGGGATTTATCTGATACTAGTGAATCTTATATAGGATGTAGCATGCGACAAGATATGACGATTATTATTTACAGTTTCCAAATCAGACAAAAACTGACCGACTTATGACTGGTCATATCATCAGTAGAAACCCTTCAGCTAATGGCAGTATTTCTTGTTGTATAACAGACGATTTCGCTACATCAGTCTTCTTCTTCGCCCGTCTTTGCATCTGTTTTTTTTTTCAAACCAGAACCCGATAGATCGTCAACAGATAGTTCCAAGTCCCGCTGACCATGACTGGAACTTTATTACTTTTCAGCATGTCATTATCAATCATCATTATTTTCTCGCTTTCTTACATGTGCAAGATTCTCATGCGGCTTCTGTGGATGCAATAACGATGGACTTTTTGAGAGCCCTTATTGAGGCAAATTAATCGATCAAGCTCAAAGATGCTGTGACGGCACTCAAAAATTGGTTTGGTGCTTTTCACGACAATAATGATAGTAGTAGTGACCTTCCGCCAGATCAGAAGTCAGACAATGAAGAAAGGTCGCATAATTTGATTTGAGGATCAAATAAAGGTATAATCAGTTCGAATGAGTGTCCACTGCTGGCAAGGTGATGAGGCCACTTCGAAATTTTGAGTTTGTTTGAGTGCTCATAACTCCTAACTGAAATACGTTACCATCATATGTACTGCATATTTAGATATAGACGAATCTGAGCCTTCCAACGGTATGCATCACCAGCAAGATGTTTTTGTTTTGGTTTGAAGTTAAGCGCAAAGCTACACCATAGGCTATCTGTGCTTTGCCAACTACGGGTATCGAAACCCGGTTTCTAGCGTTGTAAGTCCGCAGACATACCGCTGTGCCACTGGGGAGCACTGTTCGAGTGTTCAGCACTAAAAGTTATCGAAGATCTTATATTTTGCTGATGAAATGATATTGCTTCAAGCATGTTTATAAATTCAAAAGCAGTACATTAGTTACAATACTAAATAAGTTTTAATCACCGAATAGTTCACATATTTATGAACTCATATGACCTGAAAAAAGGACTCGAACACAAAATTTCGTTTCATTACCAAATGAAGTAATTTAAAAAGATGATCAGAAGTAATCTCTTAAGTCCAGAAGGACCAGTCACTGAAGTTAATTTTAAAATTTCAATATCTCGTACTGTCTTATCTCAGAATTTTCTCACGTGGTGGACAGAGCACAAATAGTCCATTGTGTACCTTTGTGCTTAATTACAAACAAACAGAATTTTCTATTTTCGTTTTTTATATCCATTATGTAATCATGTATTTGTAATGAATGGGTTTGTAACGCATTACAGGAAAAAATCCTCAATTTTTATATGTTCTATGTGTAAAATATCAAAGTTGTCCACTTGTAATTATTTTAACGTTGTTTTTATATTACTTTTATCTTAACAGCTGTATGCTAACATATAACAATGTCACTTTTCTCACAATCTCTTTTTTCTTTTCAATTCCGACATGTTCGTGGTGAAACCGTGCGAGCTATTAACCATACTGTTATAAACCCTGCAAGTCTTAACAAAATATTACTTTTCCATCAAGCCAGCGTTTTGGTTTTAGTAATGATGTATCGATCAACTGAGAGTTTGGGACGATGAAAATCAGAAAAACACTGATAGGACACGGTAGGAAAAATCACTAAAAAATATACTGTATGGAAGTGAACAGCACCAAAAGAAAGAACTCTGTTGGGAAATTTTTCGTAGCTCTTCTTGTAAAAGTACAAATACAGAAGGACATAATGCAAATATAGAAAAACCATTCACAGTAGACAGTATATACGTAAACAGTACCAAAAGAAAGAACGCTGTTAGAAAATGTTCCAATGCTGTTCATTTAAAAGTACAAATACTAAAAGGCATAATATAAATATAGGAAAATCATATGCACGTGTTAGCATAACTGTAAATAGTACCAAAAGAAAGGAAAGCAAAATACTTACAGCTGCTTATAGAGATAGGTTTATTCGGACTATTATTCTAATCTTTATTATGTGTGTTGATATTTTCACGACGTTTTGGAATTTGTTTTAGTGTTAATGGTTAGTATGCCTGTATTCGGGATCATAGGTTCGGGGGTTCAAATCCTGGTTATTCCATAAAAAGTTGCCTGGTTGTGACGTATGCAAAACAACAACAAAAGTCTGATATAATACCTGACGACAGCCGGATAATTCACTGGTCGAAACTTTGTGAAAATAACAATACACATAATAAAGACTAATAGTCCGAATAATTATACCATTTGAAAGTATCCACAACCAAGATCTATACTAGCAGTTACAGATGATATTCTTACTGAGTCCTCTGTTTTCATACTGCTTACATTAATACACTATAGCAGCCCTAAATGATTTTCCTACCGTTTGGTACTATTCATTTAAACCATTAGTAACACTAACTCCTCGTCTCAATCATTCTCTAAAACGATACTTTAAAACTTTGAATATTTGACTTATCACAAAATTAGAAAACCCTATGACTGTCTGGTACAGAAATAAGTGGAAATAAAGAACATGTAAAAATTAACATGATTGAAGTAAAAGGGACAACAACAGGAAGAAAAACTGAAATTGTTTTAAAACAAGTTGCACGTGAAGTCCTCATATTCCAGTAAATAATCATACAATGAGCGCAAGAAGAAAAGCCTTGAAAGAAAATCAAATCAAATTCAAAATGCAAAGTTTTGTTTTAACAACATTACAGAAGTTAAGTTCATGTATAATTTCATGCGTGAACAAAAACTAATTCTGTGTTTATGGTTGAAACAAAATCAATTCAAATCCAAAATGTAAAGTTTCGTTTAAACGACATTACAGAAGTTAAGTTCATATGCAATTTCATTGAAAAAAAAAATGAAGACTCATTTTGTGTAATGGTATATTAGTCTATTTTCTGCAACACAGTTCATTACAAAATTGTATATTTAGATTTTAATATCACTTGGAAATGTTTGGCTTTCATTTTAAATTAAAATAATTTTGTTTTAGTGATATATTAACATCATACCATGAAAGTCAAACAAAAGTAGCATCTCTATCCATGTGTAATATATCCTTTTTTGTTCCACATTTTTATTTGAAAACAAATCCATGCATTAAATTAAAACCGAAAAGTACAACTAGTTTTAACTGTTTTGAAAAACTGCTTCTGGCTGATATAAACTCTTTAATTTAGGTTTAATCAAGTTTCACTTTAAAATATTATACTCGAATTGCATAACTTTTTATCGATCATCTAGCCACAAACTAAAAATAGAAATAGCTTACCATATACATTCATATCCTTGTCTGCTTTTACAGTTCTATATGAGGGCGCTTCTGTCGACACCTCACAGCCGTATGATCCTTCACTGTTAACATCGGTTTTCTCCAAGTAGACATGCGTTTGGTTGGACTTGCTTAGCTAGTTTGAAATGTAAAAATATTCAATTTATAACAATTGTTATTGTGTAAGTGCATTTTGCTGGCGAAGCGTAAGTATAATCAAATATATTTGTCAAAAGACAATAGCACTAGATTTAGTGTACTTTTAAACACCATACACATGTCATGTGGAGTACATAATGTGGTTAGTGTACTATTATACAGTCATCTCCTCGACAAACATGTCATGTGGAAGTACATACGGTGGTTAGAATACTATTGAAAGAATGTATTGTTTAAAATTATAATACTATTGTCTTATAAATAAATATAAATTACTAGCTGGAGTACCCGTCTGTTGAACGGGTGAAATAAAAACTCTATTATAACAAAGGATAGGAAATTGTGCTTCTATTTCTTTTTGTTCTTAATATAATAAACATTAAAAGTGCAATAAAATACATATAAGTACCAATACCGAAAAGAAATACATAATTTTTTCAAGATTTCTATCAATATGAAATTAAATGGAGGGATCCAAACCCACCCCCATGACCTTCCTCGTGTCATTCTGTATCATTGACGTTTATTTATATAGACTGTAATCACGCTTCGTCAGTAAAAAGTATTAACACGATAACAGTTGTTATAGTACTTTATTTATTGAAGGTTTAACATTTCAAAGAAATTACATATAAATAATTAATAAGAATGTATATAACTTATATTTGGAATAACGATATCTACAAAATATTATTCTTTTGAATTGTGGAGACATGAACTTTCTTGACTTGGTAATGAAACGTAATACCTTTTCGATTCAAATCGTTATAAGTAGTCATATCTGAGAAAACAACAACTATTAAGTGTCCTTTGTCAAAGTTTATTTTATAGTTATGCTAAAAGGAAATTAGGTTTTATATTTTATATTGTGAAACATTCGTGAATAATTTACCCATTTATTTACAAGAAATATTACAGACTTGGAACGTACCCACTAAAGAACAATACTTTGATTTTCAGATTCCTACTTAATACATTAAATCTATCTCTATTTTTTCTTAATCCGACGGTGAAATATAACCAAGGTAATACTCTTTATCACGAAACCTTTGTTAAAGCTTGTATTGATAGAGTAAACTATATATTTTGTGCATATCAACATGGATTAATAAATGCTATAGATTCATTTGAGGAACTTCAATTGTTTGTACAAACTATTAATCTCAAGGTTACAAACTTTTACACCCAGACATTGTATAAGTTTCCTGACTAACCTTTCTGATTTTTCTGTTCCTCGAGATATTAAAGAAATAAAATTTTATAAGAGTCGAGAAATCGTAAGTTTCAAACTTCACTGTGAAACCAAATAATACTTGACCAGACAAATACCGACATCTGTTGGTGAGAAGCGTTTGGTCCAGTGTTTGGAGGAATATTTGTAGTAGATTTATAGGATATGATTAGTGCGATGTTATCTTTTTATTGCTCACTAAGCGTATACTGTTAATAACAACTTAGTGCATGTGAATCAACACCATAACTAATTATTTAGCTAATGTAATGTGCATAATGAAACAATAGAGCATCTTTTTTGAAGTGAGTGAAAATTTTAGAATTATATGATTTAATCTTCCTTCCTTGCTACTCAGCACATTGTCGACCGTCAATTATCTCCTGAGGAACAAAAGTCCTTAATAATAATTAATTATACAAGTATTTGGACTAATTATGTAAAGAAAGTTCCTTTACTGTTGATCTTTGTACCTAAAATATTATCTCAAGTGTGAGAAATATTTGCTCGACTGAGGGTGAATAACTTCATTTATGGAACTCATTTAAGGCAAAAAAAAGATTCGTTTATAACAGAATTAAATCAAAGAATGATGAAGACTTTTATCAAGCGTGTGATGTGAATGATAAACTAATTCGAAGAACTATAACAAGTTATGAAATTTCATTCCCTTGTATTCTTTACAAGTTAATTCGTTTGTTTTCTTTTGTATATGTTGTGTTATAATTATTTCATTTCATCATGATTTTCTGCTTTGGGTCTGACACATGTCTTCCAATTAATCTATGTAATTTGATTCTTTATGCCATTTCCTTTTAGCCTCCCAGTGGCACAGCGGTATGTCTGCGGACTTACAACGCTAGAAACCGGGTTTCGATACCCGTGGTGGACAGAGCATAGATAGCCTTTGTGTAGCTTTGTGCATAATTAAAAACAAACAAACCATTTCCTTTTAAAAGTGGACTAATACAAAGAGGAAACATAATCTGGTATCAAGCGAAACGTGTTGTTGGCAATTGACATTGCGTACATAGTGTGGTTGAAATACTTTTAAACATTAATCTCCAAAGGAACAAAGAATGTAGAGTTTAAATAAAAGGTATTGTTACGTTATAACAAATATAATTGCGTATGAGTAATTTATGTTTTTATAGACATATTCAAATTGTTTAAGGATATATTTATTTACGACAATTAGTTTTAAGCTAACAATAATAACAACGAATATAACAAATATTCAGAGAGACGAACGATAACTGTGATAGAAAGATGCAAATTAGCGTGTGTTTTTTTTAAGAAACGGGTAAATAGCATTATAGGTCAAAACCACTTTTGTATGATAACATTATAATCAATCACCAGTACTACATTTTGAATTGTTAAAAATGTCTCGGAGATCTACACAGATATAGCAGTGATTCTGGAAGCATCTTATCACACACGATTATTCGAACTGTTTGTTTGTTTGTTTGAATTTATGCACAAAGCTACACAATGGACTATCTGTGCTCTGCCAACCACGGGTATCAAAACCCGGTTTCTATCGTTGTAAGTCCTCAGACATACCGCTATGCTACTGGGGGGCTATTCGAACTGTTGCTGTCTGATTGGTGACGAACTTATTCAGTGTTTACTGATAATCCGAATATGATTCCACATTTACTCAGCATGATCTCAGGAATGAGCTAATGTAAATGAAATATTTTGATGATCAGTAAAAAAGAGCCTAAAAACCAGTCAGTAGTGAAAAGCTATTATCTGACATGATTTGAACAATTTTGGTACAAAGAAAGATTAACAAGTAACCACACATGTTAACTCGAAATGCTTGTTATATTGTATCAGATTAAATGAATGTGAATGGAATGGTAAAATACCCTAGTTATATTGTATCAGATTCTAGTGCAGGTTGGGCTGAATATATTTACACTTTCTCTTTTTAATCTGAATAAAAGCATGTGCACTGTTTTCATCCGCAGCTTAGAAAATTGTGTGAAAAAATAAATCCATATTTGTACTCAGTAGAATATAAAAAGTTTTACAATTGTAGGTTTGTTTGTCGTTAAGTACAAACATACACATTGGGCTATCTTTGTTCTGCCTAACGCGAGTATCGAAATCCAATTTTTAGCCTTAACAATGAGCCACCGGAGGGGGGCTATACCTGTAATAGCTCTAAGAATTTCATCAGGTATAACATAAATATAAAACGTAGCCTCTGTATTAAATTGCGAAAGTAAACAAAATATAAGATTGAAACTGTCATCAGTAATCATAACGTAATTATGTAATAAAACAAAATGGGGATCATAAATCCTTGCAAAAGAGTGATTTTCGTTCTTGTATGTTTAGACTTATGTACATATATTACACCATTTGAAACTATGTAAACAACAGCGGGAGTCTTCTCTCTCAACTTTGATGTTGCGGTACCAGTTTACTACAGTTATCTCCAACAGAACTATGGAGTTGTAACATCAAACTGATGATTAGAAACTGAGTAATATATTTGTGTGTGTATACGATTCTGGGCGTGTTCTAAGTGTAAGTCTTCCTATTTGTTCATGAATTGTAAGTTTTGAGATTACGTGAGCATGAAAAATATTAAAACATAATATTTGGCGTAATTCCGTACTCAATGCTAAAATGCAGGGTTAAATTCCTCGAACACCATTGTGTAACTCTACGTAAAAAGTGTCCTGCCAGTGGTCAACGATAAGTCTCCGGGCTTACATGGTTAAAATACGTGTTTCGATTCCCGAAGTTGGATAGAACATTGTGTAGCTTTGTGCTAAAAAATACAAAACATAATTTATATATCATATGTTCCACTAATTACACATAATTAAGGAAGGCATTAGTTATCAGTATCACAATGATATCATAATGTAAACTTTCAAAATGACTTTGGTTTCAAAATGAGAATATCATTGAAAATATGTTCTTTTGGTTCCTTCATCCGGTAATGTGTACATAAATATTTAACTTTAAAAGTATAATAATACTATGCTTTTACTTCTGTAATGGGCTGAGTGTCGCTTAGAAACTAGCGTGTCAGGCTCTCGACCAGTTGGTCCAAGGTTTGAGCCGCTAGATAACGCTGAACACGCTTCGCACTTTCAACTGTGAAAGTGTAACAACTGTGATAGTTAGTCTCATCATATAGCTAACTGGTGATACTGATTAGCTGCCTTCCCACTGGTCAGCAGCACTAAATCAGGGATAGCTATGTCTGAACCTTGAGGTCCTTGTGTTTGATATTTTACCCACGTGTCGAATAAAGTGTTTCTCAGGTTGAAAAATACCATATACTTCTGCAAAATAAAACATGTGATCCCTCCAGACGGCCTTCGACCCACTTTCGGAGAAATAACTATTAACTTTCGAAAATGTGGTTAATATATAGAGGTTGCCCAAATGTCCTTGATTAGCATGATTTATCACCAAATCAACTCATCTTGGTATAGGTTGACTACAGATGTAACTGAATTTTACAAAAGCTTTAAATGCCAGAATGTGCCTTGTATAAAATAAGGCTAGAATATTTCCTTTGTCTTTTCAGCAGTACAAGTTTCGTGTTTATAAAATTACTTGCCATTATCTGGTGCGCTTAAGAAAAGTGTTCAGGGACCTCATTATACAGAGTAACTCCACAATAGAGACAGAATGGGCCATAGTTACTCCACAATAGAGAAAGAATGGGCATAGTTACTCCACAATAGACACAGTGGGTTATAGTAACTCCACAATAGAGACAGAATGCCCCATAGTTACTCCACAATAGACAGAGTGGGCTATAGTAACTCCACAATAGAGACAGAATGCCCCATAGTTACTCCACAATAGACAGAGTGGGTTATAGTAACTCCACAATAGAGACAGAATGCCCCATAGTTTCTCCACAATAGACAGAGTGGGTTATAGTAACTCCACAATAGAGACAGAATGCCCCATAGTTACTCCACAATAGACAGAATGGGCCATAGTAACTCCACAATACAGAGAGAGTGGATTATAATAACTCCACGATACAGACAGAGTGGGCCATAGTAACTCCACAGTACAGGCAGAGTGGGCCATGGGAATTTCACAATACAGACAAAGTGGACAATAATGTTGCGTATTAGAATTTCGAATAGTCCAAAGCCGAGTTAACTGATAATAACAATTATTACAAATAGTTATTACAAACAAAGATTCATAAACAGAAGTTTCACAAACTTACAAACAAAATAAAGTTTTATTTCTAGTCTGGAACTTCCTTGAT